CGATCAAAATTACTCTATTAGAAAATATCAATGAATGGTTCTTATATATTATTATTTTACTGAAAAAAAATGTTCAATAAATTACGGACTATATTAGCGTGTGGTAGAGGGAGGAATATCTTCTACATCTACTATGTTCTCAATACTTTTACTTCCATCATTTGTGAAGGACGTGTTCTCCGTCTTGCCCTTGTTTACGGGTTCACATTTTATAATATATTTTTAATATAAAATTAATATAATATTTTATGTTAAATATAATAATGATTTTTTATTATAATTATCAACTCTTGTAATACATAAATATTGTTTAAATTTATCTACATTTTCTTTCATTTATACTTTTAAATGTTGTTTTTATATTTATTTTTAAATTTTTCATACTAAATAATTTTTTAAATTTTTTTTCTTAAACTTATATAAAAAATAAAAAACTTTTTTCATCTATTAAAACACTCCTAATTTGCTTTAACCTGGGTTAAATTTTTCTGATCACTCTATATTATTATGTGTGTATCATTTAACAAATTTCAGTTTTAATTCTATATTTATTAGTAATAAGCCTTGAAAAAAATTGATGAAAAACTATTATATATTAAATAGAAGGTGATAATATTTTATTACACTCGTCTACTATATATGGACTTACAAATATTTTGAAAAATTATGTTTATCGAAATTTCAACGTTTACACGCAAGTATTTTTCTTAATAGATATTTGATGAGTTTAAATGTTTTATTTTGTGTATTTATCTAATTTTCAAAGTGAAATTAGTAAACTAAATCTATTAGTAAAATAAATCAATAAATAATGAAACCACATATAGAATTTAAATGTGTTGAGTTTTAACATTAAACAAAACTCTATTTAAGATTAAATTTAAAAGGAAAAAAAGATATGGAAGATAATTTGATTTTTATTGAAAATGTATAAATGAAGCTTAAAAATAATTTAATGTATCTTTACAACAAAAACCAAATAATTTATTGTACTTTTTGTTATAAAGGCTACAAAAGAGATATTTGTTGCTAAAAACTCTGTTATGTTCATGAGCAACCCCATAAAAGTCTATCACGTATATATGACCAATTCCTTAATTAAGTACATGTTCAACATATAAGGAAGTCGGCGTTTGTATTTTCGATTGGGAAGATAGCTATGCGAAGTGGGCTTTTTCTTAAGCAGGATAAGAAGTCGTTCTTGCTTATTCTTTGATATTTGTCTTCGTCTAACGAAATGTACATCCCTTGAATCTGTAACATGAGATATACCCAACCTGTTAGGCTATAGATCTTTCCAAGTAAAAGAGATTTGGATTTGAATTTCAATAGATGGGTGAATTAATGTACACTTTACCTCGTCCTTGTTCAAGTTTGGGATTCTATGTTTCAGCGCTTCTCCAAGCTGAGCCAAAGATAAATAATAGAGTAAGTCATAAGAGCCCATAAGCAAATATGATAAAAGAGGTGAATAATTAAATATACTTGAATGGAGAAATAGCCATCTCCATCTGCGTTACAATGTGAGAATGATCGCTCGCATATTTGCTGAAAAAAGTGGTTATGCCGATACATGAGCCGAGGCATCAATAGAAGAAAAAGATACATTAGGGATCACAAGCTACGAATTCTTATAACCGGTGTGTTTTTCCATGAAGACGACTGAATCATATACCACATGTTACGTTGTAGAGGGATCCCTTGAAATTGCCTGTCTGAAAGTGATTGATCCAGAATTCTCCACGTCAATGAACCCGAATATCTACAGTAGTGTGCATGTATATATAACTTTCCCGAGGCATAAACGACGATAAAAGATGGTAAGAGCATAATCATAACTGACCCCTTTAGAGAGAGAGTGCAAAGCTCTAATCTAAGAACCCAAAGAAAGTCATGTAGTGATGTAGGGTTTTGACCTCTAATCAATTCCCACATACACTCATGTCATTGTAATATGCGAGGTATCAATCCAAATGGGCAAGTAAGACACTAAGAATGCAACAGTTCACTCAAGTTAAGCCAAATCAAGATAACAAGTGTGATCAAACTCTAGTGATTAAACTAATCAATACTAAGGAATGCAATTTCGAAATATGAGATTCAAACAGATAAAAGCAAGGACCTAAGATGGGGGTTATTGACTAAGAGGAGATTATAATCAAACTAGTGATGCTTCAAAAACCATTCAAACTCGGGTGGACCATATCGGCTTCATACATCGATACAGACATCAATTTTAGGTCTTCTTGTGCTTGTATCGATATGCTCCTGGTCGATATGGTGATCGATACACGAGGCTTCAAGGGTGTATCGGTTTGACTCTCCAGGTGTAGACATCGATACAATCGCCCTTTTTCTAAGGCATAAGGAGCAGCTTCATATCGATATAGCACTTCGATATTGTCCTGTCTCTGGTGTATCTACTTGGGTGATCGATACATTGATCGGTATGAATCCTCCTTAGTGAATCGAGGTCATCCTTGTCGATATGTTGCTTTTGTACATCATGCTCCTTCTGTATCGACGTGGAGTCATCGATATTCACCTCGGTGTGCTCCATATCTATCAGATCGCATCAATATCCTGCTAGATATTGGCCCATCCAACCTTGTCCTTCTCCTTGCTCCATTCCAAGCTCACATCCATTGCACAACTTGGTCTCCAAACTCATTCTAGTACCTGAATAAAACTCCAAATATATGCAAAATGCAATGCAACTCATAAAACTACACTAACTTCTAAGTGTATGCAAATGGGACAAGAAAAAGCAAAATATGCATGTTAAAAGACTAAAACTAGTGATGAATGCATGCTAAGATGGTATAAATAATGGAGATATCATATTCATCCTTTAAACGATCATGGATGTGGTGGTATAGGAATATCATGGCCTTTGCCTTATTCTCATCTGAAGTCGTTGTTGACTTATCGATGGTGTTCAAGAGACGATTTCTTTTTAGATGCAATTTTTCACCTACCACCCAATTCATATAATTCTTTCCACATAATTCAAGGGCGGCGATCTCGAGCTTTGTCAAGTTTGACATGATTTCTAAATAACAAAATCTTAACTTATTTAATTTAATAAAAAAACATTTTTTTGCAAAACTTTGAATCTTTGGATCATAATAAAAGCAGAATTTAAAAAACTAATTTAAAGTAATAATTTAAAAGTAATAAATTAAAACAATATGAGGAGTCACAATAATTTAAAAGTAATAAAAATGGGGTTTTTAAACTCCCACTTCATGAAAAATTAGGAGGAGACTTAACCATCCACTCTGTACTTAATAATGATATAAGAGGAGACTTATCCTTCCACTCTATAATTTAAATAAAGAGGAGATATAATCAACCACTCCATAAATAAATAATATATGAATTTATATGAATTCACAAACATAATTTAAATCATACCTCTAAAAGTTTTGAGTAGAGCTATTCGTGTTCATAACGTGTTAAATATTAAAGGGAGTCAAACACTTTCATTATAATGAGAAAAAATGGAAACATTTTTATTCACATTTTTTATTGTGTGTTTACAACTTGTGTTATTTACTTGGTCATCTATAATCACTTATTTGTAGTGGAGAAATTACACAAACAGCTTTCACAAATATAGGGAGCTAATGACATGTATTTTGATGATGATAATAATGATCAAGTTTAATGTCTATTTATTACATAAATTAGACAAGTGTCCATAAAGTAGTACCATGATAAATTATCACCACTTTTATAATAGAATATAATTTTTATTGAGATATTTAAATTTATAAGTGGAAGTCGAATATATCCTTTTTTGTTATCAATTTTGAAGATATCTCATTGAAGAACATTCAATGATATTTCACAAATGATAAAAGTAAAATATTGATACTCTCGATCAAAGTTACTCTATTAGAAAATATCAATGAATGGTTCTTAAATATTATTATTTTACTGAAAAAAAAATGTTCAATAAATTACGGGGTACATTAGCGTGTGGTAGAGGGAGAAATATCTTCTACATCTACTATGTGCTCAATACTTTTACTTCCATCATTTGTGAAGGATGTGTTCTCCGTCTTGCCCTTGCTTACGGGTTCACATTTTATAATATATTTTTTAATATAAAGTTAATATAATATTTTATTTTAAATATAATAATGATTTTTTAATATAATTATCAACTCTAGTAATACATAAATATTGTTTAAATTTATCTACATTTTCTTTCATTTATACTTTTAAATGTTGTTTTTATATTTATTTTTTAAATTTCTTATACTAAATAATTTTTTAAATTGTTTTTCTTAAACTTAGCAAAAAAAAGAAGAAAACTTTTTTCATCTATTTAAACACTCCTAATTTGTTTTAACCTGGGTTAAATTTTTCTGATCACTCTATATTATTATGTGTGTATTATTTAACAAATTTTAGTTTTAATTCTATATTTATTAGTAATAAGACTTGAAAAAAATTGATGAAAAACTATTATATATTAAATGGAAGGTGATAATATTTTATTACACTCAGTCTACTATATATGGACTTACAAATATTTTGAAAAAATTGTGTTTATCGAAATTTCAACGTTTACACGCAAGTATTTTTCTTAATAGATATTTGATGAGTTTAAATGTTTTATTTTGTGTATTTATCTAATTTTCAAAGTGAAATTAGTAAACTAAATCTATTAGTAAAATAAATCAATAAGTAATGAAACCACATATAGAATTTTAATGTGTTGAGTTTTAACATTAAACAAAACTCTATTTAAGATTAAATTTAAAAGGAAAAAAATATATGGAAGATATTTAGATTTTTATTGAAAATGTATAAATGAAGCTTACAAATAATTTAATGTATCTTTACAACAAAAACCAAATAATTTATTGTACTTTTTGTTATAAAGGCTACAAAAGAGATATTTGTTGCTAAAAACTCTGTTATGTTCATGAGCAACCCCATAAAAGTCTATCACGTATATATAACCAATTCCTTAATTAAGTACATGTTCAACATATAAGGAAGTCGGTGTTTGTACTTTCGATTGGGAAGATAGCTATGCGAAGAGGGCTTTTTCTTAAGCAGGACAAGAAGTCGTTCTTGCTTATTCTTTGATCTTTGTCTTCGTCTAACGAAATGTACATCCCTTGAATCTGTAACATGAGATATACCCAACCTGTTAGGCTATAGATCTTTCCAAGTAAAAGAGATTTGGATTTGAATTTCAATAGATGGGTGAATCAATGTACACTTTACCCCGTCCTTGTTCAAGTTTGGGGTTCTATGTTTCAGTGCATCTCCTAGCTGAGCCAAAGATAAATAATAGAGTAAGTCATAAGAACCCATAAGCAAATATGATAAAAGAGGTGAAGAATTAAATCTACTTGAATGGAGATATAGCCATCTCCATCTGCGTCACAATGTGAGAATGATCGCTCGCATATTTGCTGAAAAAGTGTTTATGTCGATACATGAGCCGAGGCAAACAAGAACTGCAGACCAATCAATGGAAGAAAAAGATACATTAGGGATCACATGCTACGAATTTTTATAAACGGTGTGTTTGTCCATGAAGACGACTGAATCATATACCACATGTTACGTTGTAGAGGGATCCCTTGAAATTACCTGTCTGAAAGTGATTGATCCGGCCTTCTCCACGTCAATGAACCCGAATGTCTACAGTAGTGTGCATGTATATGTAACTTTGCCGAGGCATAAACGACGATAAAAGATGGTAAGAGCATAATCATAACTGACCCCTTCAGAGAGAGAGTGCAAAGCTTTAATCTAAGAACCCAAAGAAGGTCATGTAGTGATGTAGGGTTTTGACCTCTAATCAATTCCCACATACACTCATGTCATTGTAATATGCGAGGTATCAATCCAAATGGGCAAGTAAGACACTAAGAATGCAACAGTTCACTCAAGTTAAGCCAAATCAAGATAACAAGTGTGATCAAACTCTAGTGATTAAACTAATCAATACTAAGGAATGCAATTTCGAAATATGAGATTCAAACAGATAAAAGCAAGGACCTAAGATGGGGGTTATTGACTAAGAGGGGATTATAATCAAACTAGTGATGCTTCAAAAACCATTCAAACAATCCTATCTTCTAAGCATATGATTAACAGCTATAACTAGCCCAATTTCTTGGGTACTAATCACTTTGCTAAGCACATATTCGAGAAAATTTTTATTAAAGAACAGATGATTAACAAGCATTCAAACAGAAATCCAATCCTACAAAGCCAAAATGTTCCTTAGACATCTAATCTCTTAGGCTAAGATAAACAAATCATCTAAAAGACTAAGCAGCATTTCATCAAACACTTACTAGGCATAAGAGAAAGCAAGGATACTAAACAAGCTTGGCCAAAACAAATCTAGTGTTAAGCACATCTAATAGAGAGAAGACAATCATATTAAGTTCAAGTCATCACTAATCTAATCCTAAAACCCTTCTAATATATCCCATCTTAAACCCAAAGAGGACTACTTACTAATCATGATCAAAACCACAGATTTCAAAGAGAAATAATGGCTAAGAATGATGAGAAAGCAGAATAGACAAGAAATATATAAAGAGAAACACACAAATTCACTAAATCAAGCAAGTCTTACAAAGATAACCCAAAAGAGAAAGGTTTTTAAGCTTAGAACAAAAAAAATTAGAATGGAACTTGTTGCCTAAACATTTTAGGCTTAAGTATTTATAGGGAGGCTTAGAAACCCCTAGTAAACCAAGAGAAACCCGATTTTTAGCTGACTCGGCTGGACCATATCGACTTCTTCAGTCGATACACACATCGATATTGGCTCTCCTTGAGGGTGTATCAGTGTGGTCTTGGTGGATACGGTGATCGATACATCAGGCTTCAGGGGTGTTTTGGCTTGACCCTCCTCGGTATAGACTTCGATACAATAGCCTTTTAGTTAAGGCATATAGAGCACACCTAAGTCGATATGCTCTTCGATACTTTCATGTCTCTGGTGTATCGGCTTTGATGCCCGATACACTGCCTGGTACAAACTCATCTTGGTGTATCGAGGTCTCTCCTGGTCGATATACTCCTATGTACGCCTTGCTTCTTTTGTATCAACATGAAGCCCTCGATATCCAATCCGATACACATCATATCGGCCAAGCTACATCGATATCCTGTTCGATATTGGTCCATTCGCCTTTGTTCTTCTCCTTGCTCCACTCCTAGCTCACATCCATTGCATCACTTGGTCTCCAAACATCTTCTTGTACCTAAATAAAACTCCAAATGTAAACAAAATGCTATGCAGCACCTAGAACTACACTAACTACTAAATGTATGCAAATGGGATAAAAACAAGTAAAATATGCATGTGAAAAGACCAAAAATAGTGATGAATGCATGCTAAAATTATATAAATAGTGGAGATATCAACACCCCCACACTTGCCTTTTGCTTGTCCTCAAGCAAACAAACTAAGATAAGAAGGGAGTGAGGTTTGAAGGTGGGCACTTAAATCCAAAAGTACTAATGTAAAGAAGTGAAATTATTGTCCAAGTGCCTAATTGTAAGATGCATATCATAATCAGTCATACATTAAAGAACCTAGTCATGCTTATCCAGTTTCAAAATGATCTCTAGCTCAGCTTAGTCAAATGCTCACATCAATCAACATTCAGTTAAACTTTGTAACCAATGAATCATGTTTAAACAAATGAAGTGGAATCATTTGGCTAAGGGATAATGTCATGAGATGAAAATGATCTCATCAAAATGTGGGTTCAAATGCAAGGGTTTCTCTCAAAAAGGAATGAGCGTAGGCATAATGTTAAAGGGAAGCACAACTTATGCATACAAGGACAGATCACTATCTACCCAATACCTAAATTGGTCTAAACCACAAACTTCTAACCCAAACCAAACCCAATCCTAGCTACCCTTTTCTCAACACTCTTCCTTCACTCTCCACACTTGATCATATTTTTAAAAAAGCTTCTTCTTTGATATATCATAGTTTTTATGGTTTATAACCATGGTATAAGTCCTTTTTATTGAGTCTTTTTGGTCTTTTTAGAGTCCTAGTAGAGTCTTTGCAGGTTATAGCATGTCTGGAGCACAATTGGAGATTATGGAGCTTTTTGGAGCAGTGCATGATACAGCCACGAAGTGTGCAACTCGGAAGGCGAATACAGAGTTGGGTAACGCTCGTTACCACTCAAGGGTAACGCTCGTCACCCGTAGATGGGAAGGATCATGGCTTGTTTTTAAAAGATGGAGGATTATCTGCAGGTTTTTCCCAGAAGTTCCAGTATTTGCAAAAAGGCCCCAGCTCGTGTTTTAGCTTGTGTATATTAGGTTTTCAGCCACTGTTGGCTTGGATCTTAGATTTTAGAATTCAGAGAGCTTTAGAGAGAGATTTATTCAGAGCTTTTTGGGGAGATAGATCCTGTACTCTTTTGAGAAGATTTCGAACCCCTTTACCTTTTACTCTTTCTCTTTAATGCAATTTTATTCAGCTATGCTTTGTGATTCCATGATCATGTCTGAGTAATCTGCTAGTTAAGCTAGGACTTTTCAAGGGTTGATGATGAGTTTGTAGAAATCGCTAACTGTTAGGAATACCTTTTGGTTCTTCTTCTCTGCTTGCTTTAAAACCGATTTTCTTAGACACATCATCTGGAAATTCGAAATCTAGGTTGTTTAATAGATGTGAGAGCATTATTTATAACCTGATCTAGCATTAGATGAGCAAAACGACTTAGTGCAAAGAGATTTGGCTTATGAGTATTGTGAACAATCGAACTTGATCATTACTGCATGTTTAGGTTGTTAGAGTTTGCAAAGAGATTTGAAACTCTGTGATTTAGACATAGTTAACTTCTGCAATGAGAATTGACTAGTTATATATTTCCGATTCATGTTCAAGACGGTTCTTATTCATTCCTGATTTCATGCATTATACATTTTCGGATTCAACATGTGAATTGTCCTGACTTAGCGCTTTTAGTCTTCAGAGACTTAGATCAATCAAATTTCGCTTGCTTTTATTATTTTAGCTATTTCGTATTACATTTATTATATACTGCTTAGCCTAGTCCGAATCTATAACTGTTAGTGTAGTTTACTTACTCCATTGGGATTCGATGACCCTATATACTACAACTGCTTTGCTGTGCACTTGCAGTTGTAAAATATTTGGGTAAAACCTGAGCCCTATCAAGTTTTTGGCACCGTTGCCGGTGAGTAATAGCTGCCTATTGATTTTTAGTATTGGGATTTTGTCTAAGTTTTAATTTGTTTACTAACTTTCTGCTACTTTTCTTTGTGCTGGTTTCAGGTGTATGCTTAATCACAGTACCAAAAGCAACAAAGAGAAGGACCTTGTGACTTTGAGCATCGACGAACTCGCTAAGTTGGAGAGGACCATCAGGAAAAATAAGAAACAGTCTAGAATGGTTACTCCACTGATCTTGGTTGAAGATGCAGAAGGTCAGTTGGTTGACAGAGAGGGAAACAGGAGGAATGAAGAAGGGCAGAGACTGGATCAAGATGGGAATGTCATAGTAAAACAGGCAGTTCAATCAGTGGCACAAGATGTTGGAGCTCCTGCTGCTGGTAACAACGCTGCTGGACGTTTTGTTCAGAGGACTCTAGGGGTTACAACAGACCTGATCAGTTCTATGCCAACAGAGCTGCAATCCGCCCTCCTGCTTTCCAAAGGAATGATTTTGAGCTCAAGCCTGCTTATTATCAACTGGTGGGACAGAATCTTTCCATGGCTTACCTCATGAGCATCCTATGGAACATATTGAGAGGTTTGAGGATTTGGCTTCAAGTGTCAAAGCTATTGGAGTTTGCTATGACTTTCTGTTTTGCAAGCTTTTCCCTTACTCACTTGGAGAAGATGCTGCTTATTGACTGAAGCAACTGGAGCCTGGTTCGCTGACCACTTGGGAGAGCACCAAGAATGCTTTTCTGAAAAATTTCTATGATGATGCTAGAGCAGAGGACCTGAGGACAAAAATTGCATCATTCTCCCATTGTCTAACTGAAGCTTTTAAAGCTTCTTGGCTGAGATTCAAGTCTTATCAAAAGGACTGTCCTCGTCATGGTTTCAGTCAGGTGCAGCTGCTTGAAATTTTCTTTAGAGGCATTGACTGGAAGTATCAAGTGGCGCTGGATGCTGCTAGCAATTGGAACTTCAACACCAACCTTCCAGAAGCTGCAATAACTCTGATTGAAAACTTAGCCTGCAGCAACAGCACTAAGAATCCAGATTTTCAGAGGACGAAACAAGTTGGTTTGAATGATGGGAATCAGATTGCCGAAGTCAATGCTAAGCTGGACAGTATGCACAACCTCTTGGTGGGAAAGAAGTCAGTCCACTTTCCTGCAGAGGTAGAGTCTTTCGAAAATCCAGAGGAGATTGAGCAGGAAGATGTGAATTTCATAAATGCTAGAGGATTTCAGGGTCAAAGATATGGGAATCAGCAATGGAACAGAGGCTACAACAACAATAATCAGAAGAGTACCTTCACAGGGAATCAGAGCTCGCCTGGTTACACACCCAAGCCTCAGTTCTAGAAGACAGAGTTCCAGAAACCTTACCAAAATAGCAGCAACTTGATAGGGTCAGGTTTTACCCAAATAAAACTACTGCAAGTGCACAGCAAAAGCAGTTGTAGTAC